TTTCAATTTCCTCGTTGTCTAGACTGAATTGGTGTATTTCAGAAGAGAGGACTGTCAAAACTTTTTCTGAGGATTCCTTGCCAACAGTGCAGAAATAATCCAGTTTGAGACCCCTTTAAACACCCTGACTTAATGCTAGGGAATTCTGGGAGATGTAGTTTTGTGAGACATTTAATCTCCTCTGTCCAAATGCCACAATTGTCCCAGGATTCCCTAGCACTGAGCCAGGGCAGTTAAAGCGGTCTCCAACTGGATTGTTTCTTCAGTGTGTTTTGGACCTGCAAAAATCCTATGAAGTTCACCATAAATGACTGTAACCCGCCTTGAATCCCATTGTGGGAGAAAAGCGGGAAATAAATCCTTCAAATAAATAACGAAAAATAAATAAGTGTCTTAAAAGGCACACATGCACATGCACCCTGAAGGCACCAGATCCTTTATTTATTAAGATTTATATTGTGCTATGCAGAGGTACCAGATCCAATCTGATCTTGGGAGCTAAGCAGGGCCAGCCCTGGTTAGTCTTTGGATGGGAGACCACTTACAGGTGTGGTAGGCTCTATTTCAGAGGAAGGAACTGGCAAAACCACCTCTGAGGATTCCTTGCCTAAGAAAACCCTGGGAAATTCATGGGGTCACCATAAGTCAACAGGCAACGCGCACACATACACACAAAAGGCACCAGTTCCTGTTTAACTGAGAAAACTAAGCAGGGTCAGCCCTGCTTAGTCCTTGGAAGGGAGACCTCCAAGGAATACCAGGAGCTGTCAGCTAGATTTCAGAGGAAAACCACCTCTGAGTAAGACTGGTACAAAGGAGGTTTGCCTTTGCCTCCCTCTGAGGCTGAGACAGTGTGACTTGTTTAAGGTCACCCAGTGGGTTTCCATGGCCAAGTGGGGATTCGAACCCTGCTCTCCAGAATCAAAGTCCCAACACTCAAACCACACTGGCTCCTGGCATAGCTACTTGAGGATATTTTATTTATTCATTAGAAATGCCACTCTCCAGTGTGGCCTAGTAGTGGTTTGAGCGTTGGACTAGGAGACTGAAAGACCAGGGTTCGAATCCTGGCTCAGTCATGGAAACCCACTGGGTGACCTTTGGCAAGCCACACTCTCTCAGCCTCAGAAGATGGCAACGACAAACCCCCTCTGAAGGAACCTGCCAAGAAAAGCCCATTACACGTTCGCCATGAGTTGGAAACC